GTCAGGGCTAGCAGTTTCTCGGATGAGATGGCCCTGGACAGGCACTGGTGCCTGAGTCTCTTGGGTGGGTTGTGAGTGAGGTCTTAGAAGGGAAAAGATGGTTTTCATTGGTTTCCCTCTTCCCAGGAGCATGATGAGGACTGGTACTGTTTGAGGAGTAATTGCCTCACCTTCAGGGAACAGGATTTGTAGTTGTTCTAATTAATATTCATAACGGGAACTTTAGAGATGAGCTTTAATTTTTTTAAAAAAAATTTCGTTGTTGATGGACCTTTATTTTATTCATATTTATGTCCCGTGCTGAAAACTGAACCCAGTGCCTCACACGTGTGAGGCAAGTGCTCTACCGCTGAGCCACAACCTCAGCCCATCAGCTCTAATTTTTAAAGCCTTTACATAAATAGGAGCATAAATATTATCTATTTTGAAATAATCTGAAGACCCTTGAATCATTTAAGAATGACAAAAAACAAACCTGCATTGGTAGCAAGATACAGTGAGAAGTTGTGTTAGCATTATGTCTCTGTGACAAAATCAACTTAAACGGAGGAAAGATTTATTGACTCACCATTATCTGACCCTGCTGCCTTGGCCTATGGCAGCACAGCACATTAAGGCAGGAGTGTGTGGCACAGAAGGCTTGAGCAGTTGTGGCAGCTGGGACATAAAGAGAGGAAGGGCCAGGTCCCCAAAGCCCTTGCCGCCTCCCACCAGGTCCCTCTGCATAAGGGTTCTACTCCCTGCCAATAGCACCACCAGCTGGGGGTTAACTTCAACATGGGCCTTTGGTGGGCATTCCAGATCCTAGCTATAACATACATTAAAAATCATTTGGGGGCTGGGGATATAACTCAGTTGGTAGAGTGCTTCGCTTGCATGCACAGCGCCCTGGGTCCAATCCCCAGCAACACCAAAAAAAAAAAAAAATATATATATATATATATATATAACACACACATATATGTGTGCGTACACACATACATACATACATAAATATCATTTGGAAGCCTTTTGCAGTAATGGATACCCCTAATCCCTGCGGTTCAGGAGTCAGGGGCAGGAGGACTGGATTTGAGGCCAGCCTGGGCATTTAGCAAGAACCTGTCTCAAAATAAAAAGGGCTGAAAATGTAGTCTGAGGTAAAGCACCCCTGGAGTCAATCCTCAGTACTGAAAAAAAATTTTTTTTAATAACATCAACCTTCAAGTTGCCCTCAAAAAGATGATATAGACAAAGTTTATGTCTACAGTAATTTTGCAATATTGTTTGGATTCCTCTATAATAGTTCATTTTGGGTTGGGGGACAGTAACCGGGATTTAACTCAGGGGCACTTGACCACTGAGCCACATCCACAGCCCTATTTTGTATTTTATTTAGGGTCTTATTGAGCTGTTAAGCACCTCATCGTTGCTGAGTCTGGCTTTGAATTTGTGATTCTCCTGTCAGCCTCCTAAGCCGCTGGATTACAGGCATGCACTACTGTGCCTGGCTTAAGAGTACATTTTTTTAAAAAACGATTTTATCACATTTTAGTAATGGCTCATGTTCACAGTTCATGTTAATGCACTGAACCCCTATTTAGATAGGAGTTGCTTTATTATTAAACCCAGTTTAAGAAATATACACAATTTTGCTGGGTGCAGTTATGCACACCTGTAATCCCAGCTGCTCCAGAGGCTGAGGTAAGAGAATCACAAGTTCAAAGCCAGCCTCAGCAATTTAGTGAGGCCTAAGCAACATAGTGAGACCCTGTTTCAAATAAAAAATAAATGGGCTGTAGATGTGGCTCAGTGGTTAATGGACTTAGGGTTCAATCCCTGGTACCTAAAAAAAAAAAATGCAGTCTGATTCTTATAGATTAAAATGTACTATATCTGTTTTTCATATATATGTACCTAGTAACAATGCCATTAGCTTGGATTTTTGGGAAAAAAGCAATCATTTTTAAGTATACTTAGATTTCCAAGAGAGTTTCTTTATTTTAATATAGTATTTTAAGTAATGAGATTTCCAAACAGAGAAGTATAAATTTTCTCATGCTGTATGTATTCTATTATTTTATTTAAAAAAAAAAAAAACTTCAAGTCTAAGGAGTGTGGTGGTGCACACTTGTAATCTCAGTAATTACTCTCAGGAGACTGAAACTGAAGGATCAGTAATTAAAGGTCATCCTGGGCAGCTTAGCAAGTTGGTATCTCAAAAATGAAAAATGGCTGGGGATGTAGCTTGGTGGTAGAGCAATCCTGGTTTCAATCTTCAGTGCACGTGTGGGCGCGCGCGCGCACACACACACACACACACACATACATACACACACAGAGACACAAATCTTACAAAAAAATTTTAAAAAGGGGTGAGGCAGAACACTTGCCTATATGTGTGAGGCCCTGGATTCCATCCCCAGAACAGAAGGAAGAAAGGGAAAAAAAGAAGGTAAAGAAAGAAGGTAGCTAGCTATTAGCTATTTTAAGAAGAGAAAAGTTTGGCTTAAAGTGGATAAACGTGTAGGTTCCAACTCCAGCTAACCATCATTGGTCCTCTGTGGGAGAAAGTGGGCCCTCAGCATAGTCCAGCCAGGGAGAGGAACCCAAGACCTTGATCTGCCCGCTGGTGCTCCGAAGGAGATGGAAAGACTCCTGCTCCTTGAAGTGAGAAGAGTAGATACCTTCTCAGGTATACACATAAGCCACATGCATGTGTGCAAAAACCCACATCTAGAAATTTTCTCTTCCGTTCTCTATGTCTTTACTTGCAATCTGCAACATGGTAGATTTTTAAGCCTTGGGAGGGTGATATGGTAGAGCACCTGCCTAGCATGTAGGAGGCCCTGCCTTTTACCCCAGTGTTGCAGACAACAATGATAACAAAAAGTTATAAGTCTTGATATCCAACAGCAAGAGTGTTCCCACCTCACTGTCTGCCTCAGTAATGGACCCTTGGCATTTACTTTTAGAATCACTTTGTGAAATGAGAAAATTGGGAGTTTGATTGAGGTTGCATTGAATCAATTTCAAGAGAAGTGGATATCTTTGTAATCTGAATATTCTAGCCCATAAGTATACCATATCTATTCACTTGTCCAGGTCTTTATTTCACTCAATAGCAGTGTATTATGATTTTCTGGTCATAACTGATCAAGAACAAAAGAAGGGACAGATGACCAAAATAAAAAGGGGCCACAATACAGATCCGTAGGCTGTAATAAAGAGGCATCTGAACACATTTTATGCCAAGAAGTTTTAATATGGAGATAAAACACAATTTGCCCAGAAAACACAATTTGTCAAGGTTGACACAAGAAAGCATTAATACAGGGCTGGGGATGTGGCTCAAGCGGTAGTGTGCTCACCTGGCATGCGTGCGGCCCGGGTTCGATCCTCAGCACCACATACAAACAAAGATGTTGTGTCCGCCAAAAACTAAAAAATAAATATTAAAAATTCTTTCTCACTCTCTCTTTAAAAAAATAGGGACTGGGATTGTGGCTCAGCGGTACAGTGCTTGCGTAGCCGGGCAGGGCCTGGGTTCGATCCTCAGCACCACATAAAAATAAAAGCATTGTGTTGTGTCCATCTACACCTAAAAAATAAAAAAAAAAATTAAAAAAGAAAGCATTAATACATGATCTTTTAAGTATTAAAGAAATTGGTTCAGTAAATAAAATTCCTATCTCAGAGAAAATTCCAAGCCCAGATGGTTTTGCCAGCTTATACCACACATTTAAGGAAGAAATAGCACTTATCTTCCATATGTATTTTCAGTTAAAGTTGGTTTATGCTGTGTGTATTATTTTAGAAACTGATTTTTCAGTTATGTCATAGACTTTTCCTTTAACTATATATTCTTCTATTATATAATTATAATGTCAGAAAGGTATTCCATTATATGACTTGTCTATCGCTGACTTAAACAATACTCTTTTTCTTTCTTTTTTTGCAGTGCTGGAGATAAACCTAGGGCCTCCTGCATGCCAGGAAAGTGCTGTATCACTGTGCCACACCCAGCCCTGTCCTCTGTTTTTTGAGTATTTGGATTCTTTCTTGTTTCCCCATAATTAGGGAGAACATTTCAGGAATGGTCATAATAATCATTTCTTTGTGCAAATGACTGTTGACTTAGCATAGACTCTTGAAGAGCAATTTTGGGAACAAAGGGTGTGTAATATTAATTCTTTTGCTATGTGTTACCAACTTTCCCTTTAAAAAGCTCTATTTATTTATAGTCCATCCCACAGTACAGGACAGGAATTATTCTTTTAATTCTCTGTGTGGGAATCAATGCAGCATAGGAACCTCCACCCCCTTCTTGCTCTAGCCACGGCAGGCTCCTTGCATTCCTGGACTTGGTGGCTCTCCATCTCACCCAGGCCTGCCTTCTGCAACTGCTGACCCATTGGCTCTTGCTCCCTCTGAGGCCACGCATGCTCCTGGGATCTTCCGACCACATAGGCTGCAGGAGATGGTTCTGTATTTTCAATAGTTTCCATTATCCGTGTTATTTCATTTTTTTAATATTATTATGTTTTTAGTTGTAGTTGAACAACATGCCTTTATTTTATTTATTTTTATGTGGTGCTGAGGACCGAACCCAGAGCCTCGCAAGTGCTAGGCGAGTGCTCTACCGCTGAGCCACAATCCCAGCCTCTGTGTTATTTCATTCTTTAAAAAAAAAAAAAAAAAAAGTATTTGATTTTCTTCCTCAATATACAGTGAGACCAGAGGCTCTCTGGCTTTCTATTGTGTTCCTTACCTGGAGCAGCCTGTTAGCAGATTCATTTGCTAGTTTGATAGGTGAAAAATCATAATTTGTTTGAGTTTCCCTCTTGTGGTACCTGGTGAACTGAGCTTTCATCCTGTGACTGGCCATTTTGCCTCTTGCGCTCCTGAGTCATGCATAGCACATCTGCTACTGGAACATCTGCCTTCCAAGTAAGGATCTGTGTAAGAGTGTTGCTGAACAGTGGTGTCCTCTAGTAATTCCTTTATGTTTTGTGTAACAGATTCTGATACTGGGACTGAGAAGGAACTGTCCATTCTAAACCAGGAATGTTCTGAAGATGTGAAGAGCCCAGCATTTGTATCAAGAAGATTCTCAAGGGCCAATTCACAGACACCTGTGTTCCAGGATCCTTGGGACCTGGAGGGGAAGGGAGAAGGGAGCCTGGGAAACACTGCTGGCCAGAGTCTGAAGAAACCCCATCTGCACAAGAGAGTTTTTAGAGAGGAATCTGTCCTGTGTAGGGAGCAGCCTCCAAGAGAGAGTGTCCAGGAGTGTTCTTTAAATGTTGATAGACATTTAAATACAAACCAAAATGTTGTTAGACTTCAAAGGAATAAAACAGGAGAGAGAGTCTTTAAATGTGATATATGCAGCAAAACCTTCAAATATAATTCAGACCTCCGTCGACATCATAGACGCCACACAGGGGAAAAGCCCTATGAGTGCAGTTGGTGTGGGCGAGCCTTCACACACAGCGCGAGCCTCATCCTGCACCGCCGAGTCCACACTGGCAGCAAACCATTTAAATGTGAAGAATGTGGGAAGACTTTTGGGCTCAATTCCTACCTCATTCTGCATCGGAGAATTCACACTGGAGAAAGACCCTTTGGGTGCAGTGAATGTGGGAAAGCCTTCAGTCGAAGCTCCAGCCTCATTCAACATCGTGTCATTCACACAGGACAGAAGCCTCACAAGTGTGAGGAATGTGGCAAGGCCTTTAGCCAGAGCCCCCAGTTAACTCAGCACCAGAGGATCCACACTGGGGAGAAGCCGCACAAGTGCAGTCAGTGTGGCAAGGCCTTCAGCCGGAGCTCCAGCCTCATTCAGCATCAGAGAATTCACACTGGGGAGAAGCCCCACAAATGCAGTCAGTGTGGCAAGGCCTTCAGCCAGAGCTCCAGCCTTTTCCTCCATCATAGGGTCCACACTGGAGAAAAGCCCTACGTGTGCCAGGAGTGTGGCCGGGCCTTTGGTTTCAATTCTCACCTTACTGAACACACACGGATTCACACTGGAGAGAAGCCTTATGTGTGTGGTGAGTGTGGCAGGGCCTTCAGCCGGAGTTCCACTCTGGTGCAGCATCGCAGAGTGCACACAGGGGAGAAGCCATATCAGTGCTCTGAGTGTGGGAAAGCCTTCAGCCAGAGCTCCCAACTCACCCTGCACCAGCGTGTTCACACTGGCGAGAAGCCCTATGAGTGCCGGGCCTGTGGGAAGGCCTTTAGCCGGAGGTCAACCCTCACACAGCATCAGCACATTCACACGGGAGATAATCCTCGCCAGCGTAGAAAGGGTGGCCCCAGCCTGATGCCCACTGGAGAGCGACGTGGCAGAGCCTTCAGCCATGGTGCAGACCTCATTCTGCACTGGACAATCCACACTGGTGAGAAAACCCTGGGGTGCAGTGAATGTGGGAAGACTTTCAGCCCTACCCCACAACCCACTGAGTGCCAGAGAAACCGCCACGCTGGGGAGAAACCATATAAATGTCAAGAATGTGGAAAGGCTGTCAGCGGGGGTTCAGCCCTTACTCAACATCAGGTAGCTCATGTTGGAGAGAAGCCCCCTCTAAATGATGGTTCTGAAAGATATTTTATTCAAATTAAAAAGATTTTCCAAGAGAGACATTTTTAAGTTATAAAATTAGGAAACAGTTTAGCAATTGTTCATTTTATGTTGGATAGGCTAGCAAAATGAAAGTTAAATAAGAGGGTTTACATATTACCAGCAAATCAAAATAAACAGGTGGATGACTATTGAAGTCATTAAATTTGAAAGTAAACATGAGAGAATTCAATCTGGAAAATACTGTTGTATAGAGGTTATTGTTGTGCTCAGGGTGACCCCTGTCGCACCACTTTCAGACACTGAGAGGAGGGGAGCACCAATAATGAGCCACTGGCTCAGCCCCAAGGTGTCACCACCTTGTGTCTCCTTCCTGCCTGAGCTCAGCTTGTTATTGGGAATACCCAGTCCCAGTACCGCTGGGCAGGGTGAGCCTTTCCTTACCAGCCTGCAGGCAGGGTGTCCTTCCTCCCTTGGAGCCCAGGTTGGGCATTTGTGGAGTGAAGATTGATGTGTTTTCAGTTCTGAGATGTGCAATTGAGCAGAGGCCTCGGGGCCAGTGAGGCCAGGCTGCCATGAAGCCCCATTCTCAAGAGCTGCAAAAAGGAAAGAAAATCCTCACAATGCTCGAAGAAAATAGGAGAGGAAATAACTGCAGTTAAGACACACCAAGAAACAACCAGGCTTGTTGTTATTTTTATTTTTCTTTGTTTGTTTGCTTGTTTTGAAGTGCTAGGGATAGAGCCCAGGGCCTTGTGCATATAGGCAAGTGACCTACCACGGAGCCACACCCCAACCCCAATGGCCAACAGTTTACATACAATAAGATTCACTCTTTAGCATACAGCTCTGTGGGTTTCAGAGTCACATGGTGTGCAGTCACCTCAATCAAGCATACGACCTGCCTCAGCACCCACAGCTCTCCATGCCCAAATGAGAAGCCCTAACCCTGCATACCCTGCTTTGTTTTCTGTTGCATGGCTTCACCATTCCCAGAATCTCATCCTGTGGAGCCATTTCAATCTGGTGTTTTTTACTGAATGTATTGGAGAGTCACCATGTTGTTGCATGTATCCGTAGTTCATTCTTTTTACTGCCCAGCAGCATTCCATGTTATGGATATATGGATGGAGCTGTTCATCCATTCTGCCATTAAGGGATTTTTGAGTGTTCCCATTTATAGCATATAAGAATAAAGTACCTATAAACATGTAACTACAATCTGTTTTGTGAACCTAACCTTTCAGTTCTTTTAAATGTCTCATTTGCATTGCTGGGTCACTAGTAATCTTAACTTTTTAAGAAAGAGTTTCACTGAGAGTCTAAGGGCATGAGGGCCCTTGAAACCCTGATTTCCATTCTGAGTCTGTAGGAAGAATCTTTTCTATCCTCTACTTAACTCCCTCCATGCCCAGTGGGTCATCACCCTTTGGGACCAGCATGCAGCTATGTGGTAGAGGATTTGCCTGTCATATGAAGCCCTGGGTTCCATCCCCAGCACCATCAGATCACCTTTCAAAATCCCTCCTTAATGCCTCTGCTCTTACCGTGTTGTTTTGTGTTTCAGTGCTGGGGATGAACCCAGGGCCCTGCACTTGTTAGGATGTGAGCCACATACTCGGCCCCTTAGTGTTTTCTTAGGGAACTTGGGGTCATGTTTGTGTTTGGTTTGACATTGGTTCTGTGGTTTGCTCCACTTATTCCCCCAACTTGTTTTATGTCTCATGCTATAAATTTCTTAAAGCCAGAACCTCTTCTGGATGTGGTCCCAGTGGAAGGATCTGCAAATCATGGAGGTAGCAGGGGCTCATCTGAAGGGCTATGATCTCTTTTTGACCTCCGGCACAGCATCTGATCTAAGGAGTAGCTTCCACTCTTGTATTCTGCATCACCATAGCAACCACCTTGTTTCACTTTTTCTACCTACTTCTACATTATGCTGGGAGCTCTTTGTAGCCAGAGTCTGTCATATGCCCTTTATTATTCTGTGAGAGTTTTTTGTTTGTTTGGTATTGAGATTAAACCCAGGGCCTTACCCGTGGTAGGCAAACACTGTACCACTGAGCTACATCTCCAGCCCTTTTTTATTTTTAATACTAGGGATTGAACTCAGGGACACTCAAGCACTGAACCACATCCCCAGCTCAATTTTGTATTTTTTTATTTACAGACAGGGTTTCACTGAGTTGCTCAGTGCCTCACTAAGTTGCTGAAGCTGGCTTTGAACTCATGATCCTCCTCCCTCAGCTTACCAAGCCGCTGGGATTACAGGCATGCACCACCACACTTGGCTCTTTGATTTTTGTTGTTTTCTTTTGTTCTGTTTTGTTTTTGAGACAGGGTCTTGCTAAATTGTCCAGCCTGGCCTTGAACTTATATCCTCCTGCTTCAGCCTGTGATCCCTGAATAGTGGGATCACAGGCATGTGCCATTCTTACACCTTTTCTCTCTAGCACATGATGCAGAATACGTATCTAGGATGTTTGGGGAAGGAAGAGAGAGGGAAGAGGGGAGAAAAGGAAACACCACATAGCACTCAGACTTGTTCTGTTCAGGAATATGCTGGGTTAAATAATTTATTGCTGGACATAGAGGTGCACATCTATAATTTCAGCAGCTTGAGAGGCTGAGGCAAGAGGCCAGCCTGGATAACTTAGGAAGACCCTGTCTCAAAATAAAGAACAGATAAATAGGGCTGGGGAAGTAGTTCAGTGGTAGGTTCAATCTCCAATACTATAAAAAACAAACAAACAAAAATCTCCTTCCTCACCTACTGGAGAGCCCACAGTGAGGTCCCTCTCAAAATGCCCACACATACCATGATTGTGGAGGAGGGAAGATTTGGGAAGGGCTGGCCTAACTTGGCCTTTATTTACTATGGACCCTGAAACTAGGATGTTAGCAGGGTCCACAGCAGGTTGGCTGAGCATCAAGACAGTGAGGGAACACCCCCATGGTTAAAAATGAGGACAAAAGAAACTCTGTGTATAACCACAAGAATGGGAAGTTATACTCCATGTATGTATTGTATGTCACAATACATTCTACTGTCATGTATAACCAAAAAATAAAGAAACTCAGAGTGCCGCGCTTCGAAACTGGTGCTATGGCAGCTGTGAGGTCTGCTTACAGCCTCTGCAGAGATGATGAAGTTGGGGTGATTCTAGGGTGGCAGTGGAAGCTGCAGCCCCAAAGAACTATCCCGGCTGTATCAAGGTGAAGCTAGAAAAAACTCCACCCACTGGCACCAGGAGGCACCTGACAGAATTGACTCAAGAAGATGGAGCTGGGAGGCCAAGGTGACCAGAGTTCAACGGGAACATCAAACAAGCATGTGGAGTGATTAAAAACATCTAGAATCAGATCTTTTAAAACATCAGGGCTGGGGACATAGCTCAGTTGGTAGAGTGCTTGCCTTGCATGCACAACCTCCTGGGTTCAAGCCCCAGCACCACAGGAAAAAAAAAATGTTCCCCTGACCACCACCACCAAAAAGAAGAAAAGCAGGGAAGAGAAGACACACAGGAAGGAAAAAAAGAGAAATTATAAATATAGCATAAATGAAGAATTACTGAATCTGGCTTGGTGCCGTGGCACAGCCGTAATCCCAGGATCTCAGGAGGCTGAGGCAGGAGATCACAAGTTCAAGGTCAGCCTCAGCAATTTAGAGACCATGTCTCAAAGTAAAAAGGGCTGGGGATGTGGCTTAGTAGGTTAAGTACCCCTGGGTTCAATCTCTGGTAACTGTAAGGAGTGGTGGAAAAGCTCCGTAAATTCAACAAGCCAAACAACCATTTACCTGTCCAAGATTTTATTAGTGGGAATGTAGCAGCCGGTCACAGAAGAGAACAAGTGGGGGGGAGAGAGAGAGAATGAGCATGGGGAGTGGGCTGTTACTTTTTTGTTGGCCAAGGGTCCATTTTTGGGCAGGAGAGGGTATGAGTCTCCTAGGGGTGGGAGGTCACAGTTTGTGCCATTTCAGGGATTGGAGGTGATGGTTCATGCCACTTAGATAGTAGTTCACGCCATTCAGTGCATCATGGACCTGAACTCCCGGAAGAGATGCACTTCGGGCGCCATCTTTACCAACATGCCTCCCTTTTTTGTTTTGGTTTGGAGGCATCATACTAGTTCTGGCTTCTTCCTGCTGAGTAGGGGTGTTGTTTAGAGGGAGGGAGGTCAGTTGGTTGGAGAAGGAGGGCCAGGAGGCCCCATATCCATGCGCTGAAAGCATGGATTTCCTCGGGGGAGAAGTCCATGAACGTGCCTTGCAACCACAAATTGTTGGGTATAATGAGCCATTCACTGGGGTGGCCCAGGGGGAGAGATAAGCCAACTATCTTCCCATAGGGCTTGTAAGAATTGCAGGCCTCGGAGGGTAACAGGTGTCATCTTCACTAAGAGGAGGATCAGAGGTACAGTGCAAGCCACAAACCTGCAGCTACGAAAAGGAACAAAAGAGACAGCATTAATTTCTGGCATGTCATCCATGTCATCCAGGGCTGGTACATAAAAAGACCTATGCTCAGGAGAAGGCAGGTTAGAACATATATGGCTAAAAACCAAGGGGTTATTTCTTTGGAATGGTAGGGTAGAGATGGCCCTTCGGTGGAGTTGTCATTTGGTATCTTCATCTTTCAGCACTTGGTGGAGGCTTTTCAGTATGAGTGGACATAAGTATTGTCCAGCTCATTGGCAAGTAGCTGGTAATCCCTGAGGAGAAACTGATTGAAAGTTTGGTTAGAGATTTTGTTAATTTGTCCTTGAAGGAATTAAAAATGCAAAGAAGGAAGGCACAGAATAAAAAGACCCCAACTAGAGGTCCTAGCATCAGGAGACTCCAGCAGACAAGGGGTTTGTGAAGAGGTTCCAATAGGATTGTTGTGCCAATTGCAGCCTTCTTTTTTCTAGTTGTTCCTGTAGTTATTTAATCTTATCTTTCACTATCCCTGGCTGATTAACATAAAACAACATTCTTTCTGTAAGAATGGGAAGAGGCCTCCTTTTTCCACTGTGAGTAGATCTAAGCCTTGGCGGTTTTGTAGGACTACTGCTGCAAGGAAATCTAATAGATTTTGGAGGGTAAGTAGGGACTCAGTCACCTGTTGGAGGTCATCTATGAATGATTTGGACAATTGATTATAGTATGTGAGGGAGGTAGTCAAACCTGCTGTACCCATTGGCAAGCCTGCTGTAATTCCTAAAGTAGTGAGGAGAGGTATGAATTGGATCGCCCTTTTGGGTCTTAAGTGTGTCATGAGAGGGATTGGTATTTCTGTATCTCCTGTAACTGTCTTTATAGGGAAACAGGAGAACAAGAATACATGTGCCTGTCCAGTCTGGGGGCAGACAGTGGTATACAGTTGTCCCACATAAAAGTGATGCCTTGAGACTGCCGGGCAGTGGGCCTTATTACCCTTTGATAGAGAGATTGTTGCCATTGCTTCTCAAGTAAGTTTCCTACTGGTACATTCCCCGATGACTGAAAACAATAGAGCAGCCTGATAGAGAGGAACACCTGAGAGTTTGGCTGTGGTGTCTTGAGTTGAAGAGTTCTCCTTGAGTGTGGCCCAAGAACTATTTATTGGGTTTGTTATTAGTTTTGGGGATTCAGTTCTAGCCTACAACATAGCCAACATCCCTGTACATAGTTTGTATTATTAGTAGCCTTTAACAGATTGAAAGAGAGATTGACAAGTTTAAAAAAGAGCAGAGGATCTTTGGCTGTTTTTGCCTTAACCAAATCAGACAGCCAATTGGGTACATCAAGCAATTCTTCTTGTTGAATATCCAGCTACTTGGGCATGATGCGGGGGAGCCGGGCCTGGGTTTTTACCAACAGCCATCCAGTATCTTTTGTTATTGTGCTCACAGGCCTGGGGATCACTGTGGTAACAGTGCTTTGGAGGGATTTTGTTGAAGAATTTAAAACTCCTCCTAGGTTACAGTTCGTGGGACAGCATGGTACAGGGTTTATAGCCTTCCCTGCACTGTGCTTTGAAAGAGAGTAAGTATAAAGTCAGTAGACGTAGGTCCAAATAGGGTGTGGGTGTACTGTGTTGCCATGGGTTCCTAGATCATATCGGGAAGCCCATTCTTATGTGTGTTCTTCTCCTCTGGAATGGAAGGGAGGGTGGTACGTGACTGTGAAAAACAGCTTGAGAGGGTTATCTGGGGATATCTCACAGGTAAATCTGGGCAATTGTGGGGGTCCTGCAAGGTTGGGAGCTGTGGTGGGAATTGTCTTCTGGAGGGTGTGCTACCAGTTTTAACCTAGAAATATGAATCCAGGGGGTTAGTTTCTTTCCTTCCTGTTGGAGTTTTGCAGCATTGGGTGTACACAGGACTACCTGTAATGGCTTTTCCCATTTTGGGGTTAGGGGAGATCTTTCCCCTGGGGAGGAAAAATAGACCCATTTGCCTGGTTTGAGGGGAAAGGAGGCAGCTGAGTTCTCTGGATCTGGGCTAGCTCAGAGCATATAAGGAAGAGGAGGGGAAGAGCATATTGGTTGGGGACCAGCCAAGGCTCTGGTGAGATTCCCGGGGGGAGAAGAGGACGACCATACATTATCTCAAAGGGGGAGACAAGGGATGGCTTTTTTGGTAAAGCCCTCATGCATAGCAGGGCAAGAGGGAGGAGTTTAACCCAATCTAAATGAATCTCTAAAGATAGCTTCCTTATGATGTCTTTCATTGTGTGGTTGGCTCACTCAACTTTACCTGCGGCTTGGGGGCAATAGGGACAATGAAAGTGCCATGGGATGGACAATGTCTTTGCCAAATTCTTAGTTACTTGGGAGACAAACTCAGGCCCACTGTCGGATTGGATTGAAGTGGGCATCCCAAACGGAGGGATTACTTCAGTCAGGAGGATGTTAGCCATGGTCATAGACTGCTTATTTGAGGTGGGAAGGCCTCTACCCAACCTGAGAATGTGTCTGTTAAAACTAGTATGTATTTGAAGTGTTTTACTCTGAGCATGTTGGTGAAGTAGATTTGCCAATCTGCCCCAGGAATATGGCCCCTAGCCTGATGAGAAGGGAAGGTTCCAGGTTTTAAAGATGTATTGGGACTCACTCTTTTGCATATCTGGCATGAGGCTGTGATTTACTGTATCACTTTATCCATTGCAGCTACCAGCTCAACCTCTTGATTAGTGCTTTTGTAGGCAGGGGATTGGCTTCTGTTACTTACTGTTACTGATAGGGACACTGTGGCATATCCAGATTTTCTGATCCCCTCATACATAAAGGAGCTGCCATCAGTGAACTAGGTGTAATCAGATTGGTCTAGAGGTCCCTCAGTGATATTAGTTGGGCATGGGAGGAAGTTTTCTAGAATTTCCCTGCATTTATGTATTGGGGGTTGTGTTTGACCTTGAGCCTGCCAGGTTAAGAGGAGGCACAGGTTTGGAAGGACATGGAGGAGTCATAGAGGAAAGAGACCAAGAGAGAGAATTCGACTGGGAGGGAGGGTTTGCAGTGCTTTGTACGTTAGCAGGTCCTTGAGGTGATGAGGAGAGGTGACTGTGATTTGAGCTCCAGAGGTAAGTTTCTGTGATTTTTTTTTAAGAGAGAGAGAGAGAATTTTTTAAATATTTTATTTTTTAGCTTCCGGTAGACACAACATCTTTATTTTGTTTTTTATATGGTGCTGAGGATTGAACCCAGCGCCCCATGCATGCCAGGCGAGCACTTTACCGCTTGAGCCACATCCCCAGCCCAAGTTTCTTCGATTCTTTTAATAAAACATAGGAGGCCGCTAGGGCATGGAGACAAGGAGCCCATCTCCGGATAGTTGGATCTGTCTTGAGAGGTATGCCACCTGAGCGAAGGTGGGCCCATACATTTGTCCCAGCACCCAACAAGCCTTGCCCTATGTTTTCATGGACATGGAGAGTAAAAGGCCTATTAACATCTGGCAGGTGTAGAGCCGATGCTTGTAAGAGGGCCTTCTGGAGGGTTCTGAAGTGGGATGCAGCTAAAAGTAACAAGGGCCCATGCTTGTTTCCTTTTGCTAGATCATATAGTGGTCTGGCAAGTAATGAGTAATTTGGTACCCAGGCCCTAAAATAGCCTGCCAGACCCAGGAACGAGAGAATCTCCTCTTTAGTTTTTGGTACTGGAAGGCTTTCAATACGGCCTTTTCTATCGATTGTGATAGCTTTCTTCCCTTGGGAAATGTGGAACTCTAAGTAAACAACCTCAGAGAGAGAGAGCTGCACCTTTTTCAGAGAAACCCTATATCCTTGGTGAGCAAGAAAGTTCAGGGTGGCTGTGTCAGACTTTGAGGTTTCTAATGAGGGACAACAGAGAAGGAGATTGTCAACATTTTAAAGGAGGGTTGAGTCAGGGTATAGAGGGAAAAAATCCTCAAGATCTCCAGCAAGAGATTGTCCAAAAATATGTGAACTGTCTTGAAACCCCTGGGGTAGGACAGACCAGATTAACTGTTGGGAATGTCTAGTTTCTGGATCAGTCCAGGTAAAGGCAAATATGTCTTGAGAAGAGACGGATAGCGGAATCTAAAAGAAGGCATCTTTAAGATAATAACTAAAAAACAGGTGGAGTTTGTAGGAATGGAGGAAAGGATAGTATAAGGGTTTGGAACAAGGGTATGTATGGGCCTGGTTGAAGAATTTATTAACCTTAAGTCCTGCATCAAACAGTATGTTCCTTTAGGCTGTTTTACTGCTAAAATTGGGGTATTGAATGGAGAGTGTGTGGGTTGGAGGAACCCCTTTCTCAATAAGTTCTGAATGACTGGCTTTAGGCCCTTAAGACTGGCAGTTGGCAACAGGTTTTGGGCCTGGTTTGGGAAGTGGTTAGGGTCTTTAAGATGCACTTCCATGGGAGAGAAATTTGCAGAGATGGGTTTCAGTATCCCACACAATTGGATCTACTATTTTACAGGGGAGGAGAAAATGTGTGTTCTGGTGGTCGTTGGAGTCTTCACATCAGACACAAAGAGGTAAAGTCTCTTTTTTGTTGGGGAGTAAAGCCATGACAAAGATATGAGTAGGGGAGGATAATAAGGGTAAGGTTTTGGAGGCCTTCAAGATGGATAATATATCCCTTCCCAGCAAGAGGACCAGCTATTGAGGCATAACCAAAAAATTATGTGAAAAGGAGAACTCGGATAAGGAGCAAGTGAGGGGAGGAGTTCTGCGTGGGATGATGGTTGTAACCCCTACCCCAACAATAGGAGATTTGGAGGGATAGGTAGTTCCCCAAAACTCTCTCAGAACCGAGAATGTGGCCCCAGTGTCTACCAAAGAGTTTATGGGACGCCCATCCACTCGGATAACTACCCTGCGTTCCTGCTTGGTAATTGAATAGGTAGGGACAGAAGACTCAGGGCCCCGTCAATCCTCGGCTGCTAGGCCCAGCAAGTCACTGGTGGAAGGACTGACCTCAGCTCCCCTCCGGGAATTGGGGCAGTCCGATCCCCAGTGGCCAGAACATCGGCATCTGGGGCATGGTCAGGGCGGTGCCCTGGGGTTAGGGCAAGCCCTAGCCCAGTGTCCTTTGTTGCCACACTTAAAGCAGGACCCAGGGGATCCTCGTTATGGGGGTTGTTGTCTCCCTTTTCCATAGGTTGGAAGGAGCCCTGTGCTCTCTCATCTCTGTTGTGGTAGACCTTGAAGGCCATGGCCAACATCTCGGTCTAAGGAGTCAAGGGTCTCCTCTCTAATTCTTTTAGCTTTGCCAGTATGTCAGGGTAGCTTTGTGAGAACACATAGGTCATAAAAAGTTGCCTCCCTTTGGACTCAGGGTCCAAATTAGTGTACTGAAGGAGAGCCTTTGTTAATCGGTCTAGGGAGGCTGAGGGTTTTTCATTCTTCTCCTGGATGACTTCCTGGAGTTTATCAAAGTTAATACCTTTTTGTGCTGCTGCCCTTAGGCCAGCCATCAGACAACTAATAAGGTGGTCCCTGTGTCTCAGGTCTTGGAGATCATTATAACCCCTATGAGGGTCTTGGTCTGGAACTGCCTGGGCCCCTAGGGGATGGTGGGCATCAGTCTGATGAATCTGGTCTACATAGGTCCTAGCCTGTCCCAGACCCTTCTCCTTTCCTCAGGGAGGAGAATTTTGGACAGAATCATATAGAGACCATGAAAGGTAATGCCATAGACTTGGGTTAAGTATTGAAACTCTTTAATATAAGAGACAGAGTTTGCAGGGTAAAATCCTAATTTTTCTCTACTTGAGAAAGGTCAAGCATAGAGAAAGGAATATAAACCCTTAAAATCCCATCTGGCCCGGCTACCTCTCCAAGGGGGGCCACAACATGTGAAGTTTGAGTTGGGTGATGAGATATAGTGACTTATGGGTGAGGTGCTGCATTAGTGCATAAACAGGTGGCGGGTGGGTGGACTAAACTGAGGTGGAGGGCAGAAGGAATGTAAATGGGAGGAGGTTCGGGGGGAGTGTCAACAGAAGAAGAAGCCGCAGATGTAGAAGATGGGGAAGTGGGAGGGGGTAAAGTTGGGAAAGCAGGGCTGAGGGTGGGGAATAGTGGTGAGGAGGTGGTTCGTCAGCCGGGTGGAAAGTGGAGGCAGAGAGCAGAAAGAAGGCGTGGAGGCAGAGAGTAGAGAAGGAGAGGAAGGAGGCTTGAGAGCAAGGAGTAGATGTTGAGGCTTGCATTGGGTGCAGAGATTTGGGTGAGATCATAGCAAGGACAAAGCCTCTACATAAAGAATCTCGTTCCACTTCTTTGATCACTCACAGTAATTAAAAAGATTCCAGAGTAAATTGGGATCCAGAGACCCACACTTGGGCCAAACGTTTTAGTTGTCTAGGGGGTATGTAGGCCAGTCCTGGGTACAGAATTTTATGAGCCTTTTTGGTTTAATATCAGGGGCCAGGCTCATGGTTGTCAAATTATCTAAGAGGCTCTGCAAAGGAGAATTGGCAAGAAGGGATGAGGAATTTCCCATGCTAGAAGGGCTAGATGAGAGTCAGAGAAAGAGAGAGGGAGAAGCCCTGGGCCAAAAAGAGCTTCCTGGAAGCTCCAGAGCGGATGGAGGGTCAAGTGGACATCCCCAAAATGACAGAGGGCACTGCCTGGTGGTCACCAGGAGAGTGCCATCTGTGAGAACCAAATAGGGCCAAGGCCATGGGCAACCTGACATCAGGAGTTTTTCGAGTGGAACAAAAGAATCAGAAGGAGACTTTTTCTGGGTGGAACAGTTTCAAGCGGAACAGAGGAGTCACAACTAGGGAGAGACAGACTGTGGCAGCTGCCCTAGCCTGCCCACAGGAGATGAGAGTGAGGGGAGATGGAGGAGTCAGAAAGGGAGAATCTATCCTGTGTCCCAGGAGGTTGACTCCCAGGGGCCCACCACACCCTGACAGGTCTGAGTGGGGTGCGTTTACCTCCTATAACACCCGGAGGGATTGCGGACACTCAATGGTCAATTCCCTCATTCTGGTGAGTTAGGGTTCAGGTGCTCATGGGATGGGGGAACTCACCTATCCGCCAGTCAGTGGTGGGTGTCAGGCAGGTGATCAGAGGAGTGGACTATGACAGGAACAGTTGGGCTCAGAGTTTGGGAACCAGTTCTGCCTTGGGTGATGGAGATCCCTGTCCCAGGTTTGGGCATCAATGTAAGGATCTTATAGTAACCCCTCCAAAAATAAAAATAAACTGCTGAATTTGAGTAAAGTTATTTGAGAATTTTCTGCTTTATTACAACTGTTCTATAAATTTGAAATTAGTTCAAACTAAAAGGTTTAGTAAGAAATTGGTAAAAGGATACAAAGTTCCAGTTAGGAAAACTGGAGAGGTCTGTTGTACAACCTGACGACTACTGTTAACAATGTACTGTGTTCTTAAAAAGTACCAGAATGGATGTTAGGGTGTTCTCACCTAACACTCAGTGAGATCATGCACGTTGATGGGCTAGACTTCTCCATTTCAGACCACTCATAACATACGTACTTTTAACATAATTGTGTACATTACATAAGCTATAATAAGTATGTACACAACATGTACAATTTACATCAATATCAAGAACTTCTGCGCTGCAAACAGTAGCATCCAGAAAGTAAAAACAGCTGGGAATGTAGCTCCGTGGCAGAGGCGGAGACAAGGAGTTTTACTCCCACTGCTGGGAGGGGGTTAAAAAAGACAAAAGGGGGTGGAAATACTTGCTAAACCATCCATCCTAAGGAACCTTCGGACTGCCAAGAGCTAGTCTACACCCCCTCCGGGGCTCCTGAGACCGAGAGCACTGCCCCAGCCCTTCTTTCTGAATGCCTCCCATTCTTCCCAGAGCCCTAAGGCTCCAAACCGGCGGCTGCGCGCTCTGCATGCGCCTGGGACGTACACCCTGTCCTCCCCGCCCACCCAGTCCCGAGCCACCGGAAGTAGACGTTTCCCCCCCCCCAGCGGGGCGCCGCTCTAGGACATCAGGAGGGCCCGCCTGGAGGAGTCCTTAGTCACTCTGGCGTAGGATCCTGGGTCCGGCCCTCTAGAGGCTGCTCTTAGCTTGGCAGAGCCCAGGCCAGGACACTCCTGGAATTGGGAGGGCTGCCAAGGATCCCAGCTCAACCCTGAGGAGGAAAGCGGCTTCAGAGCGACCGACCCGGTGTAGGAGGTTGTCTTGACCTAGTTATGCAGTCAGCCTAGGCCAGACACCACTTGTGTCTTTCCACAATGTCAGAATTTACTGAATAATAACAATAAACTCACACCTTCATCGGTTTCAATTCACTGAATACTCGTGGGTCAGTCATTTGGTAGTCATGAGCCAGGTGATCACAGGTAATTTTATTACACTCTTAATTACTAACATTTATAAGGTGCAAGAAACATCACACTTTAAACAAATACAGAAAGACTAAATTAAGGCAGCCTTGATTACAGGAGACTTCACTGAGCAAATGGGCAGGGAGCAGATGCAAATACAAAAACATCACTGCAGACAGTCAGATCTGTCATGGGCCAGAGGTCAGAACTTACCCTAGGCACAGGTATAGAAGGCAGGCAGTTTCAAAGTGTCAGCTTGAAGTCCTCGCCTACAGGAGAAACCAAAGGAGCTAAAGTTCCTGGGAAAGAAAGGAAGAGAATCATTGCTGTGGCAATTTTCCTGGGCAAGGCTCATGAGTAATGATGAAGTAATAGGGTCAGTGTGTTGCCATTTCCAGTCTTGGGGGGAGTCTCTTTTTATATATCAGTTTGCACCTATGGTGGTGCTAGGTAGATGGGGGTTATCTGTACAAACAAGATATGGAGTCATTCTGACTTAGCACTTAAAATGGGTAACTCAAGGGGTTGGGGTTGGGGCTCAGTGATACAGCACTCACCTAGCACGTTAGAGGCCCTGGGTTTGATCCTCAGCACCACATTAAAATAAACGTATTGTGTCCAGCTACAACTAGAAAATAATATATTTTTTTAAATGGGTAACTCAGGGCTGGAGTTGTGGCTCAGTGGTAGAGTGCTTGCCTAGCATGTGTGAGGTACTGAATTCATTCCTCAGCACCACATAAAAATAAATACGTAAAATAAAAGTACTGTGTCTATCTACAACTAAAAAAAAAATCTTAAGAAAATAAACAAAAATTTAAAAAACTCAAAAAAGGGGGGGGGTGGGTAACTCATGGCAAACTGCTGCTTTTCAAAATGGAGTAACTGAGAGCTAGGAAATGCTTGAAAACTACTGTTCCATATCTCAGAGTAACTCAGAGCAGGGCCTGATTTCCATAGAGGGTCTGGTGCCAACCAGTGGATTCGGGTTCCAAAGGCCACTGCAGCCTCACCAAGGCCAGCGGTGGCAGTGGCGGCAGAAGACGTGGGCCAGCAGGGGCTGGAGCAGCCGTGGGCAGCTGGAAGCGCGGAGACAGGAAAGATAGCAAGATTCAGCAGGTGGGACCTTGCCTCCGGTTGTGCAGGCGGCAAGGTCAGTACCAGGTCCTCAGGTTTCCCGCTCGCCTCCGTGGCCTGCCAAGGTTCCAAGGAGGGGAGGGCAGTCTAAGAGCGGAGCATTGGGACATCCTGATGGAGACAGGACCTCGCCCCAGCCTGCTACACCCTTGGTTCTGTCAGGTACACCCACTGCACACAGAACAGTGGGGGCACTGGTGCCCCAGAAGGATCCACGGAGACCAGACGGGCAGAACCGCCAGACCCACTCTGCCTGGCCGCCTCTCCTCTCCTCCGGGACGCTACCGGGACTGTCAGCACACAGGCCTGTAGGGCCATGCCTCCAGCCCTGGCCACATCCACCGTCCCCTCACGCTCCTTCCTGGACTTCACTTTCCACGGGCCCAGCACTTAGTGCTCCCTTAGTGGTGGCTGACCCCAGCCACGCCCTCCAGGCCCCGCCTCCATCTCCACCCCTGGCCACGCCCCTGCGGCTCAAGTCTGATTCCAGTCGTGGTTCAAGTTCCCTTTCTGGCCACACCCAGCATCCCAGGGCCCCGCCCCGTCCAATGCACCAGGCCACGCCCCCTGGCCTGCATCTCAGAACTGAGTCACGCCCAGACCCCATACACGGAGCTGTAAGCTACCTGAGCACTTGCTCACAGGCTTAGAGGGCTCACTTTCCCTTGGGCCACCCTGGCCTTTGGATCACACCTCTGCGCCTGGACGTCGGCCCCATCAGATCCTTGCCTTCCAGTATCGCTTCCCGGGAGAGCTGGGGTCCAATGAGTAGGTGAACCAGCTCTGGCCGGTTCTTAACCCTTCTGGAGCGATCAGAAGCACAGACACTGGTCAGCAGGCCCTCCCCCTGGCCTCCAGACTGCCTCTGCTTTGCCACCTGGAAAATGAGACGTTAGCTCTTTTAGAATCGTTTATAAGCTTTATTGAAATATAATTAACTTGTGCTGGGTGCAGTGGCGCCCCTCTAAATCACAGCGACTTGGGAGGCTAAGGCAAGAGGATGTCAAGTTCAAGGACAGCCTTCACAACTCAGGGAGACACTGTGTCAAAATAAAAAATTTAATATATATTTTTTTTAGTCGTAGTTGATCACAGTACCTTTATTTTACTTATTTATCTTTATGTGGTGCTGAGGATCGAACCCAGGGTCTGACACTTGCGAGAGGAGCGCTGTACAGCTGAGCCACAACCCCAGCCCAAAATAAAAAACAATTTAAAGGCCTGAGGATGTACGTCAGTGGCAATCTTCCACGAACACAGACACGTTTGAATCCTATACACATTTTATTTGTATGTTTAAACACTTCAGGGAAGTGGAATTGTTGGGGCAGTGTCTGGCAGTATTCATGCTGAGACTTGCTACCCAAGTGTGCCCAACTGGCCATGAGCCCTGCCCCAATTCTGCCACTAGCTGGACAAAAAGTTGCTTTCCCCACACCCTGTGTTGACAAATAACAGTGCCACACCCATTGATGGGGAAACTAGGTGTTTGGTTTTTGAGGAGGTACTAGGGATTGAACCCAGGGGCACATTACTACTGAGCTACATCCCAGCCCTTTTTTATTTTTTAATTTGAGACAGGGTCCAGTGAGAACTAAATTGCTGAAGGTCTTTCTAAATTACAGAGCCTGGACTGGAACTTGAGATCCTCCTGTCTCAGCTTGGTGCTGGGATTACAGCAGTGTGCCACTATGCCTTGCTCTGATTGTAGTTCTTGGCGGACACAACATCTTTGTTGGTATGTGGTGCTGAGGATCGAACCCAGGCTGCACACATGGCAGGCGAGTGCGCTACCGCTTGAGCCACATCCCCAGCCCATGAGTAGCTACTTTTGTGTGACTTACACTCACACACATCTAACACAGCTGAACATTTGATAGAGCAATCTGCAGCAGAACCAATAGCCTTGAGTTGAGTCTGCACAAACAGACCCTGGAGAAGGCAAAAGCATGGCCAGGGACAGATGGTGGGGTGTGCAACTCTCAGGAGGAGCTGACTTAGGATCTTAATCATTTGCATCCTCCCACATGATTTAGGAATTATCTAAGAAGGTAGGAAGGGGGGTGGGGATGTATAGCTCAGTGATAGAGTGGCTTGTTTAGCACGCTCAAAGTCTTGGGTGAGACAGCCACTGGCCAGCTCTATTTGAGTACACAATATAAGCTTGAGTTAATTTGATTTAAAATTGGAGTCAGTGGTCTTTTCTTTGCATCATGGTTCAACAGTTATACTCCATATATGAATAATATGTCAAAATACATTCTACTATCTTGTGTAACTAATAAGAACAAATTTTTAAAATTGTCTGCAAAAAAAAAAAATTCTCCTAAAACAAAGAAAGCAGATGCTACCTGCTACTTACATGACTGTTTTCTTTTCTTTAAATATTTTTTAGTTGTTGATGGACCTTTATTTACTTATTTATTTGTATGTGATGCTGAGATTTGAATCCAGTGCCTCACACATGCTAGGCAAGCGCTCTACCACTGAGCCACAACCCCAGCCCCTACATGACTGTTTTCTATGCAAGAGAAAACTATTACACAAGTGGCTTAGTCTGGAAAGGCCCCATTGTGCTACTCAACCTTGGCATTTGCTACCTTGTAAATAAGACCCTCCTAGTGTGTGGAGGGAGAGCAACCTGAAGTATGTGCCACAGAGGGATGCCATTCATTTTCCCTTACTGATAATGGGATGCGGCTTCCTGCTCCCTGGAATTTCACCCTTCAGTACACGAACACCAGGGGATTCTACTCAGCAATGAAGGAGGTGTGTTCTCCTGAGTTCATTGCTTAGTGTAATGGGAACTGTGAAAAGCAGTAAAATTAATAATATAAATTGCAGGTTAAATGCTCTCATAAGTCCAAATTCTGAATGCTTCTGAGACAAAGTTCAGATGATGTTCAGATGATGATGTGGCAAGTCAGCATGACAATGGTACTATGGTGACTTTAACATTGTATCCATCCCCATGGGGATGGAAAAGATTTAGCAGCAGGTTAAAAGCTTTGAAAAGATACATTGTTTCAAAAGCAATAAAAGTTGAAGTTTCTCAGTGGTGTTGAACAGTCCATCTGGCCTCCCCTTATAGCAGAACAGCAATCAACATCGGCAGCTTTCTAGTCTCAAACTCATTCCAAATGTTTCTTTGCCAGTTGAATGTGACATGTTGCATTTGGAGAATGCAGTTAGGAAGATTGTATCTAAAAACAATGGTGTGGACAAATCAAATCACAAATTCACAAATCAGGTCAAGGTGTCTTGGCAAATTGGCCCTTCAATGACCTGCATTCAGCAAACAACTGCTAGTGGTTGAGCAGGTCAGGATTGTGCCTTCCTCCCAGAACAGAGTAGTGGCTGGCTGTGTCCATGAGGAGAGGCAGGCAGCCAGCCTGAAGTGACCTGCATGTGCCTGTCAAGGTTTCAACTTGTCTCTAAGTGCAGGTCAGATTGACTTGATCTGAGCAGGTGCAAGAAGATAAAATGCAGAGCCCTCTTCCAAGGTGCTGCCTGTACAGGGGAAGAATCACTCTTTCCAGAGCTGACACTCATGCTCTATGCAAAGGATACCTCACACCCCCTCAAAACACACTCTCTGTGGATTTAAGAAACTCTGTCCTGACAGGAAAACCACAAAGTTCCACACCTAAACATGTCAGAACTAACTCCTTGAAGGGAGGAGTTACTCATCACAATGGGATGACACAGGATTAACAACTGATTATTGATGACAACAGGATTAACAACACACCTAAAGCTATGGAGGAGGTAAGACAGTAGAATGACATGATCAAAGAAAGGGAAAACTGCCAAAAATCCCATATTCAAACTATTTTTCAAAATTGAAGGGAAAATAAATACATTCCTAGATGAATAAAGATGAAGTGAATTTGTTGCTAGAAAATGTATTACAATAAATACTAAAATGAAGTCATACAGATTGAATGCATATATGGAGTGCAGTACATCTGTACTACCATGATTCCAGTCCCATGAAATTTCTTTCTTTTCTTTTTTTTTTTTTAATGAGTCCCTGGGCTCCATTATGAGCATTTCCTTTTTTTTTTTAAGAGAGAGAAATTTAATATTTATTTTTTAGTTTTCAGCGGATACAACAACATCTTCGTTTGTATGTGGTGCTGAGGATGGAACCCAGGCCGCACGCATGCCAGGCGAGCGCGCTACCACTTGAGCCACATCCCCAGCCCCCTCCATGAAATTTCTATTGAAAGCAAATCTTCAGACAGGAAGTGGGTAGAATAGAGGTAGACCCAGGCTAGATGCAAGGGGTTGGCAGAAGTGCCCTCAAACTAGGATCAGGTTTTTGTTTTGTGGGGTTTTGTTTGTTTGTTTCTGTTTTTGTTTTGGTACTCGATTGAACCTAGGGGCATTTAATCACTGAGCCACATCTTCATCCCTTTTTTATATTTTATTTAGAGACAAGGTCTTGCTGAGTTGCTTAGGACCTCACTAAATTGCTGATGCTGGCTTTGAACTTGAGATCCTTCTGCCTCAGCCTCCTGAGCTGCTGGGATTAAAGGCGTGCACCCAGGATCGTTTCAACTTAACTAACAGTCATTGAGTTGTGTCCTCACCATGGATGTGTTTTATTATTATTTTTTTTTTTTTTTTTTTAGAATTTTTTTTAATATTTATTTTTTAGTTCTCGGCGGACACAACATCTTTGTTGGTATGTGCTGCTGAGGATCGAACCTGGGCCGCACGCATGCCAGGCGAGCGCGCTACCGCTTGAGCCACATCCCCAGCCCCGGATGTGTTTTATTATATCAGAATTATCCTTAATTAAACTTGTCTTAAAAGTAGAGAATTTATGGGCTGGGGTTGTGGTTCAGTGGTACAGCGCTTGCCTCACATATGCAAGGCACTGGATTCAATTCTCAGCTCTACATATAAATAAATGAAAAAAAATAAAGGTCCATCAACAACTTGAAAAATATTTTTTAAAAAGTATAGACTTAATTAAAAGAATTATAGATGGTGGTGTTCCCAAGTAATATGCAGAAATAAATGCTGGAAGAACTTGATTTTAATCTTGGCTGACAGTGATGACAAGAAGCAACTGATGGGGGCTGGGGATGTGGCTCAAGCGGTAGCGCGCTCGCCTAGCATGCGTGCGGCCCAGGTTCGATCCTCAGCAGCACCACATACCAACAAAGATGTTGTGTCTGCCGAGAACTAAGAAAAAAAAAATAAATGTTAAAATTCTCTCTCTCTCTCTCTGTCCCCCTCTCTCTCACTCTCTCTTAAAAAAAATTTAAAAAAAAAAAAGAAGCAACTGATGGTAACATGTCACAATTTCAGATATTAAGAAATAAAAATGTGTACATTAGAATTAATAAAATATGGTAACTGAAATAGGCTAGATTGGGCTGCAGTAAAAATAAAAATTAAAAAAAAACTATAAATGCTTTAATTTACTTTTCCTGTAAAATCCAGCACAAGCTGGGTAGTGTTGGGGAGTGGCTCTGTGCCATAGTGACTCAGGGGCTCAGAGACTTCCCTGTTATGGCCTTGCCACTATGAAGCAGAGGCTGCTCCTGGAGACTGCTGTAGCAGGGTCTGAGAGAGCTAGAGGACTGAAGGAAGCGGTGCACATGGCTGTCTCACATTTGAAAGGCTAGTTATGTGGTCCCACTCAATAAAGACAGGAGAGTTGAAATAATTAAATGAATACAAAACATCTGTACCTCACAAACATTAATGCTATTAACATATTAATATCCTTACTTTGCTGATGAGAAAAAATGGGACACCCAGTAATTAAACACTTTGCCCAAACTGGACGGCAGGCAGTCAGGCTTAAAACCCACATGTTTCAGGACTATCCTTCACTATTCTTCCAATCTTGCAGAAGACTAATATTTTTTCCATGAGATCATTCATCAAACTCTGACTCTGGCTGTTTTCAAACATGCCTAGCAGTTTGTTTGTTTATTTTTTTTTTTCAGTTGTAGATGAACACAATGCCTTTATTTATTTATTTTATATGGTGCTGAGGATACAACCCAGTACCTCACATGTGCTGGGCAAGCGCTCTTACACTGAGCCACAGCCACAGCCCATGCCCAATAGTCTTAAGTTTGTCTTGCTTCTTAAATTTTACCCACTCCCTCTTCATCAGATGAAGGGCTAACCATGTCCAACCAGACTATTTTCTCCTATCTGTTCTCCTTGTTTCACAGGTTTTATTTTGAGTGAAAAACCAAAACCTCTTTTTTTTGGCTTGATCTTTCTTCACTCGTTTCTGGTTCTTTTTTCCAAGCCCAACAATCTCTCCTATCCTCTCAATCCTCTCTCTTTGCCTCTGAAGGATCCTGAACTCTAGGCCAGCAGTATTCAAGACTCAGGCTACTGCACTTTCTTTGCCAAGTCCCTGAGCCTAGAAAAATCCCACCGACACTTCAGCCGACTCAGGGCCAGCGTCAGACTTGTCCGCTGTGAGAGGCTACCCTTACTCCCCTGTGCCGGCATGCCCATTAAAACCCCACCTGTAACCGCAGAACCGCAAGTTCAAGGCCAGCCTCAGGAATTTAGCAAGACCCTGTCTCCAAATAAGTAAAAAGGACTGGGATGGAGCTCAATGCTAAAGCGTCTGTAGGTTCAATCCCCAACACCAAAAACGAACACCCCACCCCGCCGCCTCCTCCGGCTGCTCGCTGACCACTTAACGCGGGCTTCAGAGCAGCCCGGGAAGGCGCGCCAGGCCAGGTGCGGGCTCCTCGCCTCGCAGTCGCCGAGGTTACGCGCCTCGGCCTCACGCCCTCGGCTCCCGCCGGGGCGCCTCCTCCGCGTAGGTCTTCATCCTTCACCTCCACCTTGGAACACCCCCGCTGTCCAGGGCCACGGTCATCCAGGAAGGGGGCTTGGCTCGGAGGAAAAGGGGCCAGAGTTCCTCCTTGGGGAACCTCAACCTTCCTTCCCGAGAAGACCCAGGCCGCGTCCTGCGGCACTCGGCGCTCCTCGGCGCGCACCCGGCGCCTTACCTACTCTTTGGACCGTGGCACCAACATACCGGCCTCCAAAGGGTGCCCAACAGCACGGAACTCTAAGTCCCACCCCTGTAGAGACCGTAGTTCACCGCCGGATCTTCTCAGGACAGTACCTCCAGGAAGGAGGAGGGGAAGAGCGTGGGGCCACCTTCCCACATCCGCTCCTAGTCCCAAGGGAATCAGCCAGGGTCTGGAACCACCGAGACCTCGGTCTTCCCAGCCCTAGAGCGGCAGGGCAGGCCACACTTCCGGCCCGTGTCCCACTGGCCAGTCCCTGCCCGGCTAGTGCGGCGGTCTCTCGGGTGGCCTGAAGGCCTCGGGATCCCCACAGGCGCTTGCGCGGCGGACCGGGATGGGGGGTCCGCACAGGGGCGGAATCTTGGGGCTGCCCCTGTGGGAGCTGGGGATCACGGTGTGGCACTGCGAGGAGTCGTTGGCGCGAGGCCACGCGGTCAGGAGACTATGATGAACTGAGTATGTGATCCACGGGTGCGGTCTGTGGAGAGTGTGGGGAGTACCGTCAGCACGCGAATCTTCTGTGGACTGAGTAGTGAGGGTCTAGGGAGCGAGCGTGAGACCCCCACCACTGGCCTCATTCTGGGCCCTGATTTCCGGATTTTGCATCCAAAAAGCCCAGCAGTACTCACTTTGGAGTCTTTCTGGGCCATCTTCCAATAGTAAGAAGAGGAGGTGAGAGAAAATCATTAATTTATTCACTCCTTCCACCTAAGGGTGCCAGGGGGCTACCCCCCCCTTTTTTTTTTTTTGCTTCACATCTAGTGTCCTATGGCTGGAAGCTTCTCCCCAGATCTCTGCCCATCTCCCACCTGGATTAGATCACTGGGAGAGGTCTATAGGGGGACGGACGGCCTTAGCCGTGACACAGGTAGAGGTCCTTTGATCCAGGCAGGACCCTCCTCTTAGTGACAGTGTCCTAACATGTGCCATGGGTGCTGATGACAGGAGGTACCTCCAGCTGGAGACACGGAGTGTGGGCAGCAGCCCCTTGATCACTGTCCCAACCTATCCTACCTTCAGCTTGCTATCTGTAAGTAGCTAGAGCAATCTTTTTCTATTTTTCCCACTTTTCATTTTTTGTTGTTGTTTTGTTTTGGTACCAGGGATTGAACCCAGGGGTGCTTAACCACTGAGCCACATCCCCCAGCCCTATTTTATATTTTATTTTGAGACAGAGCCTCGCTAAATTGCTGAGGCTGGCTTTCAACTCAGGATCCTCCTGCCTCAGTCTCTTGAGACACTGAGCTTACAAGCATGCACTACCACTCCCAGCTCCCACATTTAATTTTGAGAATGTTCATACCCATAGAAAACTTGAAAAAAAATAATACTAGAATGCACACCATACACCTTTCACCTAGAATGCAGGGGCTGACATTTTTAACCTTGATTATGTCTTTGTATATATGTCTACTTCCTATTGCTAAAATAATAATTTGTGGTCTTCATGAATGCTATGATTTAGATATGAGGTGTCCCATAAAAGCTCATCTGTGAGCCAATGCAAAAAGGTTCGGAGGTGAAATGATTGGGCCATGAGAGCATTAACCTAATCGGTGCTAATCCACTGATAGGGATTAACTGGATGGTAACTGTAGGACATAGGGTGTGGCTGGAGGAGGTGGGTCATTGGGGGTATGTCTTTGG